GCCCTGGTGTGAGTAAAAAACAAACCAGAAGAGGCTGACGCCTTGCTAAACTGTGATGAGCATTAAGGGAAATGGGCTGCTCCGAGCCAGTGAGCATTGCCTAGGGAGAAGGTGCTTCTGCGACTGTGCTGGGGCTGGCTCTGGTGTGTCATCTGAATGCCAGCGTGCTCCAGCATGAACCTGTGCACCACATACCTCAGTGTACCCTTGTGTCTGTGCTCCACTATCCAACACTTGACAGGATTGAAGTTACTAATTGCCTAGCTTGCTCCCCATAGCATGGCAGGGTAGTACACAAAGACAAAAATTCTCTTTGTCCCATTTAAAAATGGCAGTAACTCAAGAGAGGTTAGTTAACTTGCAAAAGGCACAGTGTGAAAAAGTCAAGATTTAAAACCTGGTGGGTCCCGCTCCACATTTTTTGCTTTTCCCAGACCCACACGAGCATGTATGTGTGTGTGTGTGTGTGTGTGTGTGTGTATGTGTGTGTGTTTTCAGGAGAAGGCAGGCAGGTACACTTGTGAATGTGATCCAGACTGACAAGCTCACACCCGCATCTGCTGGAGAGAAGACATCTGTCTTCCACAGAGGTGGCTGCCAGAAAGTCAGGGCTTCTGGAATTGCAATTCAGCCACAAATTGTGAAGGCTTCAGCGAGTAATGGCCCAAATGATCCCACAAGGTCCTCCTGCCTCTAACCTTCTCAGGACTCTGGGGAAAGCCTCTCTTGGGCTCTGTCTAGCTCTTCTCTTGTCCTCATTGTTCCTCTATTCTTCCTATTCTTGTGGTTTCCTCGGGTTGGTCTTCCCATGAGTGCCTTTCTCCAGAGCCCAGAATTCCTTCCAATAAAATCTACTTTGTTTTCTACACACTTCCTGGGAAGGAGGAAAGGGCAGAGACAAAGCTGATTGTTCCTCTTATTATCAAGAGAGAAACTGAGGCCTAGAGGTTTCTTGTCCTGGCTCACACATCCGGCCTGATTCAAGGGATCCAGCTGTGACCTTCTGTCAGAGGAGGAGCAATGGCCCCAAGTGGCAACTGCCAACCACTCCTTTTGGCAGACAACATGCCTAGACCATGGCAAGAGTTCCTCAGAAGTCCTGTCCACTCTGGGAGGCCCTGAGGATCTGAGCCAAACCACGGTGCTGAAGGAGGAAGGGAGGGGAAACGGCTCTTTGAAGAGGTATAGCCCAGCAGGCTTAGAAACCACTCAGCCAAGATGGGGTGGGAAGGGAGGTGAGAACTAGACCATTGGAAAACCCAGAGGTCTCTCTCTCTCTTAGACACAGCTAGTTAATAGTTAGTGATTCTGTGGGTCTGGAATCTGAATTTTGGTACAGGAGGATGATGGGGATTGAGCTCAGGGCCTCTCATATGCTAAGCAAGACCTCTACTACTGAGCCCCCAGCCCCCAAAATCTGAATTTTTGATAAGTGTTTCTCGGTGATTCACTTCAAGTGACCCAAAAATCACATTTGAGGGCTGGGGATGTGGCTCAAGCGGTAGCGCGCTCGCCTAGCATGTGTGCGGCCCGGGTTCGATCCTCAGCAGCACCACATACCAACAAAGATGTTGTGTCCGCCGAGAACTAAGAAAAAATAAATAAATGTTAAAACTCTCTCTCTTTGTCCCCCTCTCTCTCTCACTCTCTCTTTAAAAAAAAAAATCACATTTGATAAACTGGACTTGGGGCAAGATAATATAATATTTAAGAGTCCAATATCTGGAGTTATACCATCCAGGTTTGAATCCTGGCTCCATTACTCACTTTGTGGACTCAGATAAAGGATATAATCTCTCTCTCTCTCTCTCTCTCTCTCTCTCTCTCTCTCTCTCTCTCTCATTTTATTTATTTATTTATTTATTTATTTGTTTTTGTGGTGCTGGGGATCAAACCCAGGGCCTTGTGTATACAAAGCAAGGACTCTACCAACTGAGCTATATCCCCAGCCTCAAGGATATAATCTCTATGTCTCAGTTTCTTCATCTTTAAAGTAAGGCTATTTATAATAATAGTGGGGGGCTGGGGATGTGGCTCAAGCGGTAGCCCGCTTGCCTGGCATGCGTGCGGCCCGGGTTCGATCCTCAGCACCACATACAAACAAAGATGTTGTGTCCGCCGAGAACTAAGAAAAATAAATAAATAAATGTTAAAATTCTCTCTCTGTCCCCCTCTCTCTCTCACTCTCTCTTTAAAAAAAATAATAATAATAATAGTGGATTTCTCATAGGGAAGTTACAAAGATTCTATGACATGAGTTATGTGAAATACATAACACATACACAGCATATGTTAAATTTGTAACAAGTATTAAGCATTATTATTTGTTCTGATTCCTCATTCCCGTTCCTATCCTCATTCCCACTCCCACAAGAGGAAGAAATAATGATATTGGATCAATATAAGGGCTTGTCACTGCAGCATTGCTTTGGACAGGGTTCAGCTTTTGAGCACATTTGAATATCTCTGCTTCAAAGCCATCTCCCTTTCACTACTCTCCAGATACCCTCACTGTGAAGGGAGTCTCTTTCCAATGAACTGACTTGCCTTTCTCATCTTCTTTCCTCCTTGGATCTCTTTCCAATCCCCCAAGCCTGCACAAAGTTCAAAGTGATTTGGCTCACGTTGTGTCCTAGAAAGTAAAAACAGATCACAACAGGTCATTTGTGAGGGTTTGTGGGTTCTTAGGTTTTGAAGAAGATCACAGAATTTGGTGCTTGAGGATTAATAAGTAAACTTCAAAAATGGAAGGAAACCAAAGCCTCCTGCGACCCAAACTCTAACCAGGGAAAAACACTGTGTCTTCCTGGGAAATGGAGACATGAAAGGTATGGTTGAAGCCCAGGGCAAGTGTAGGGTGTGAGGTGGGGAGTGTTCTGCCTTAACTTTTGTACACACTTCAAGTTGGATGGCACCTCAAGGAGACCACAAGCACAAGGAAAGTGGGAAAATGTCAGAATGTGATAAAATGAACCAACCAAGGAGTCAAAAGGGAAACAGAGGAAATCACCTCTCAAATGCAGCAGTGGAGCTAACAGGTAGGTGTAGAAAAAGGCAGGATCAGTTCCTGTCTCCTCCTAGATATTCAGCCCTTTAGAGAACCACATTTTCCCTCTCTCTCTTTGCAGTAAACCAAAATGGAGAATCTCTGGGATGTTTAAGCAAGAAGGGATAGAGAGATTCTGCCTAGAGAAATAATTGGCAAGCTTAGATTGAATTCTTTCTTGGCCCACAGTGCTCTTACCAGCTGATGCTTCTCAAAGATCCTTGCCCCAAAGTAGGACTTTCTGGCCTGTCAAAATCCATCCATTGGTCAAGGCCACCATGTCATACCTGTGACTTATAAACACACACCCTAGGGTTGTCAGATCAAATAGAGGAGGCACAGTTAAACTTGAATTTCAGATTAATGAGAAATTTTTTAATACAAATATGTTCCAAATATTGAATGCCATTCACTTGTATTAAACCACTATTTGTTATTAATGGGATACTCAGGTTTAACTTGGGATCCTATATTTTTATGTGCTAACTCTGGCAACTCTGTTCCACTCGCCTTCAGAATCTCTCCCAAGGACCTTGGCAGGATTGTGTTTGAAACAGCTGCCTTGTCACAATCTGTTATGTCCTTAGCAGAGAACTTTTGTTCTATTCTATCCAGCTAAACTGGAAGCTCTCTGAGGGCAAGATCCAAGCCTCCTCCACCATCCTAGAGATGCCCACCCAATAAGGGATGCTTCTTATATAGATATGTACAGAGGCACCCTTAGCAAGGGGCAAAGAAATCCAACCTCAACTTTTTGCTCCTGTGGGATCCCTGGCACTGGACTGTTTGTAACATGGAAGGGCCACTTTTTCTGGTTGGTTTGTCCGGAGAAGCTGGGAGGCTGTTTTCAATTACTGTCACCAAAGAAATGCCTGTTTCTAAGATGTCTACTCAAAGAATGTTTTTTCCAATTTCTCCACCAAACTGGCATCTTTTCCTAAACAGCACAAAAGGGTCCTATGGAGCCTCAGGGTTAGAATTCCGCATTACTTTGGTTTGGCACTTTATAGATTCCAGATTATTTTTACATACACCAACTCATCTGATCCCACAAGGACCCCCCAGAGGTCAATATCATTGTTTTATTTGCATTTTACAGAAGAGTGAACTGAAGATAAAAGAGAATCTGCTCTCAATTGAGAAGGTAGATGATGAAAAGTTTACTTTGGCTCTGTAAGAATTTAAGGAAGGCTTTCGTGGAAACTTTTTTCATTCCATTCTTATAATGACTGCAAGGGATATATAAGGAACTTTATACTCGTTTTCTCTTTTCATCTTCATGCAGTTCTAGGAATTGAATATTTTCTGCTCTTATTTTATTGATAAGTAACCTGGCACTTGAAGTACTTAAATCCTTTGCCAAAAGATCACACGATTGCATTTATTAAGTGTGTGTTGCATGATGCCAGGCACCGCCTGCGGTTATTAACAGGGTTTATTAGATCATGAATTCCTCCCCACAATCATGAGATATCTGTATTCTTATTATTCTTATATACTGATAAGAAAAGCGGGTGAGTGACTGGCCTAAGACCACACATCCAGCAGGTGGTTGGTGCAGGATTCACACGTCTACAAAAAAAAAAAATCTAATCTGAAACTCAAACCCAATCCTGATTCAGTCTAGGAGTCTAGGGTTCCTTCTCCTACACTCCAGGGACTCACTCCCCGTCTACCGAAATTATCAACTACCTTCAGGTGGGCCAGAACCCCTCTCCATCTAAGTCTTAGGTAGTCACAACTGCCAGGAGACCATTCTTCCCCAGCCCTCCCTGCAGAGATCTGGATCAATTGAAGGTGGCAGGGAGAGAAGGGGTGAGCTGGGCGGTGGCAGGCACAGGGCGAGGCAGTGCAGCCAGCGGAAGAGGCTCCAGGACCTCGGCGCGTTCCAGCGGCGAAGGGTGGGTGGGGCGGGAGTGCCGAGCTCCCGCCCCTCTTCCCTCCCTTCCTCCCTCCCGCGGTCCTCCGGCCGGCGGACCCGTGGGCAGGCACTACTGGAGTTGGACGACCTCCGGCCGGCCCCAGACGAGCGCAGCAAGGAACTGCCCAGCGCGCACTGCAAGCCCCTGGGATCGCCCCTGTCCGCGAGGGCGGCGCAGGGGTGGCGCATCTCGGGGACCAGCGCACAGCTGACTGCCCGCGGGTGCCGGGCGCTCAGCAGCTCTCCTCACCCCGGGGAGCTGGAGCGCCGACGAAATGGTAGCTCGGGTCGGCCTCCTACTGCGCGCCCTGCCGCTACTGCTGTGGGGTGGACTGGACGCCGAGCCCGCGGACCGCGCAGGCCAGGAGCTCCGCAAAGAGGCAGAGGTAAGTGGTGTGTGCCGGGCGAAGTTTGCAGACAGGCCATCCCGCGGTCCCATCTGAGCAGACGATCTGCATTGCGTTCTCGCTGTCCTCCGCCCCCTGCACACTTGCACACAAAGAGCCGGGGCACAATTCTTCCCCAAGTCGGGGTTGGGACCACACAGGCACGCGCGGATCCGCACTGATGGGCGGGGATGGGAGTGGGGACAGCGAAGGGACAGGGAGGCAAGAGCTGAGAAGGAATTCCCACCCTCACTGCCTAGTCTGGGCAGACGTGACATTCATTCACACAACGGTGGTGGTCTGGGGGGAAGCCCAGATGGGGTGCCATGGAGAGGTTACTACTGGCTGAAACTCCCGAGCGGAGCCGGCTTCCCGCACTGGGCTGCCCTGCCTAGCTAGGGCAAGCCATTTAAACCGCGCCGAACCAGTTTCTTCGTCTGTAAAATGGCTAAGAGTAGGGTACTCTGGAGAAGTGCTTATAGGGAGCTTTAAACAATGTTTCAGGACTGAACGTGAGAGAGGGGACAGGAAGGCCAAGGTGAATCTCAAAGGTTTCCCATTTCACTTTCCTACAGTGGACTTAGCTGCTCGCTGTCGATCACACAAGGGAAATTTGTGAGGTAGGGCTGGGGATAGATTTAGGTGTCTGTTTTCTAGATAAAAAGTAATTGTAATGACACAACAGTGTCATTTCTTGCTTTCCCCAAAGAAGCATCTCTGTGTCCTTCTTCTCAAGAATAGGACCCATGTCTCTACTCTTTTAAGAAGTGAAAATAAGTTTTCCCTGTGTCCTGAGACTCTTTCTCCCATAAACACTTCATTCTGCCCTAAAACTGTCAGTTTAGAGGTTCTCACTATCCACAATACTCCCCTTGTTTATGAGGGGCAAACTGAATTGGGGAAACCTGCAGAAGGAGGAGGGCCCTCTATGACTCCTCCCTCCAACAGCCGGCTCTAGTCACTGCTCCTCAGGAAGATTGTCCCTTTAACTCCCTCAGCCCTTACCCTTCCAAGTGCTGGTTTCTTGTTCTGTGCTTCCACTTTTGCATATTCAAGAAATCACTTTGCTTCTCTGAATTTAGACTCTTACAACATCAAGTGCAGAGTCCTTGAGGCCCCAGGAGAAGGATTCTGTCTACCAAGCCAAGTCTTGTTAAGAGTCCCACCCCACCCAACCCCAAACTGGGTCCCATGCAAACCCTGGCAGAGGAACAGACAGTATCTCTGTTGCCCATGATTGTGGTGACCACAGATGGAGGATTTCATCTTGGGGTATGCTTGGGGAATTTAATATCTAGCAGATTGAGTCCCTTTCAATCTATTTAGCATAAACTGGAGGAAAGGAATTTTTAACTGTGAGCATAGAAATATTTTTAAAGCATAAAAAAACTCTGAAAAAGTGTAATGGGTGACTATGCATATACATACTTATGTGTATATATACTATATATATATATATATACACATATACATACATACATATATATAGATCATTGTGTGGTTTCATTTAGCTCATATATTTAAATGTTCAGCATAGTACCTAGCACACAGAAAGCAATCTCTAAAAGGAAGTTGCTGTCAATGTGATTGTGGATGTTATGATTATCCTTCTCATTATTTTAGAAAACAGAGTTTCAGATTAAAGTCCTGGCTTGGAGACTAGCTCTCCCTAACAATCACAGTGGACAAAATATGTAAGGCAACTATTTTCAGCATTGGAAAATGGGCAGCACAGGACTACAATTCCTAAGAGATGGTGTTACAGTTACTATGGCTACATTACAAATTACCCCCAAAACTTAGTGAAGTAAAACAATCCTTGATTAAGTTCACAGACACTGTGGGTCAAAATTACAAATAGGGCAAGTTGGGGCAGCTTGTGTTTGCTCTGCGGTATCTGGTATCTGGTGCTGGTATCATCTAAGGGCTGTTCACTCACATATCTGGCAGCTGATGCTGGATGTCAGCTGAGCTCAGGTCTTCTCCATGTGGACCTATCCACACGGTCTGTCCCTGTAGGCTAGTTTGGGCTTCCTAACAATATGGTGACTGGGTCCTTAGAATGAGTGTTCAGGGTGGTGGTGGTCAGGGCGGATAGATTGCATCCTTCTTATAGAGTAGACTGGGAAATCACATAGCGTCACTTTTTTTTTTTTTTTCTTTGATGGTACTAGTCTCTCTATCCCTAAACTACATCCCCAGACCTTTTTAAATTTTATTTTGAGACAAGGACTCACTGAATTGCCCAGGCTGGCCTAGAACTTGATGTCCTCCTGCCTCAGCCTCCAGAATACCTAAACTGAGATTACAGGCTTGTGCCACCATGCAAAGCATCACTTCTATGGCGCTTCATTGGCTACAGGGGTCCCAAGCCCTACCCGGGTTCAACAGAGACCTCACACCTGGTAGGAAAAAGTGTTGAAAGTCACAGGGTGAGAAGAGCGCTAGAGTGAGAAAGATCATTATGGTCATTTAGGGAAATACAGTCATCATAGAAGGGAAACTCTCAGGTCACCACAGCTCTTGACTCCTGGGACAATTCCCTGACTGCAATGGGGGTGGGGGGGCAGCTCGACCCCAAGTAGAGCACAGAGTCCTTGTTGAGGTGAGGTGACATAGGTCAGAGTTCAGTAGCTAGAATCTGTGGAGCAGTGCCTCCCGGAGGAGGGGACAACACTGAAGGGACTCCCACACCCCTGGGTGGAGGCTCACTCCAAGTGCTCGCCTGAGGACGGTGGTGGCATGTTGTTGGAGACTGTGTGAGACTTACCAGAGAACAACAGTTATGTGACTGAGAACAGAAAAAAAAGCCCTAGAAGTCGAGCACTTCGGGAAAATCTTGGAGTTTGTTCAGCCAAAAATGGAAAAATCTTTAACACCCCAGGCGTCCACTTGAAACTCCGGTGGTGCCATGCCTTAGGGGTGAGGACCATGATCTAGAGTAAGCCCTACTTAAACAAAGCTCAGAAATGGCTAGACATAAAGTACTTTTGCCCATGTCGTAATTTCCTTAAAAGGCAATTGTTCAAAACAAAAATAATAGAATCGTAAATTGGATGTTATAACATAGGTCAAAGTTATGATAATAGCACAGGGATGGGGGGGCGGAAAATGGAACTCTACTGTTGTAGATCAATACATTTGTGAATCGAAAGTGTCAGGTGTGAAGTAGGAGATGGGATGTGCCGAGTGACAAGTGTGAAGTATTCTAATATTGGTACAACATTAACTCCAAGGGACTAAATTAGGTTAAGGATGTACTTAAAACCAAGCCTTGACAAGATCTGCAGCAGACTAATTTTTGCCTCTGTATATTTGCATATCCTAGATATTGCATATAAATTATTTAAAACATGATCTTTTTTTGTGCCTGGATAATTGGAAATTTTTGACACTCTCTCCCAATCATGAGTAGAATAGGAAATTTAAAAAATTGGTAAAGATGGAGAATACTTGAGCAACATGGTCAGATACCTTGATCTAATTGATATTGATAGAAAATTATACTTAAGAATGGCAGAATAAGGTTTGGGGATATAGCTCAGTTGGTAGAGTGCTTGCCTCACATGCACAAGGCCCTAGGTTCAAACTCCAGCACCACACACATAAAAAAAGAATGCCAGAATAAACTGGGCTCAGTTGTGCACGCCTGTAATCCCAGTGGCTTGGGAGGCTGAGGCAGGAGGATCACGAGTTCAAAGCCAGCCTCAGCAACTTAGTGAGGACCTAAGCAACTGGGTGAGACCCTGTCTCTAAATAAGATATTAAAAGGGTCTGGGGATGTAGCCCACTGATTAGTGAAACCACAGGGAAATTAGAAAATATTTGAAGTGAAGTAACGATAGAACATATTCCACATCAACATTTTGGGATATAGCTAAATCAGTGATTAGAGTGACTGTAGAGATTGAAACGCCTCTAGTGGAAAAGCAGAAAGGTTTGAGATCAATGATCTAAGCTTCTACTTTAAAGAAGCTAAGAGAGAGAGAGAGAGAGAGAGAGAGAGAGAGAGAAATCATACATGCGCAGATTGAACCCAAAGGGCATAGAAAGGAAGAAATAATTTTAAAAAATAAGCTGTGTGATCATAGTCTAGTTCCTTTACCTCTCTGGACGTCACTGCAGCTCCTCCTCTGCAAAATAAAGGTATTTGGGGTTTTTTTTTTTTTTTGGTACTAGAGATTAAGCCCAAGGTCACTTTACCACTAAACTATATCCCCAATTCTTTTTATCTTTCATTTTAAGCCAGGGTCTCACTAAGTTGCCCACTCTGGCCAGAACTTGGAACCTCCTGCCTCAGCCTCCCAAATTGCTGATATTATAGGTGTGCGCCACCACACCCTGCGAACTTCTTAAATGACTTCTAAGATTCTCTCTAGCTCTAGCGCTGTTGTTTGGCTTTGCTATATTTATCTACCTCTGCCTCTGCCTCTGTGTGTGTGTGTGCGCACGCACAAGCGAGTATGTGTGTGCGCGCTTGTGTGTGTGTGTACACATCACCTACTATGTGGCCACAACTGTCTGAATGTGTCTATGTTCCCATGTCACTGGGTGTGTCCCTGCATCTTGTGTGGGTGTGTGGCTCTATGTGTCCCCTGTGTGTGTGTGCACACCAACTCATAAAGTTGAGGATTTTCCGCAGAGGGCTTTGCCGGGGAGGAGGCTCAGCACTTACAAAGCTGTGTTATGAACAAGTTCATTGTCGCCCACTTAAGGAAAGCGAGAGCTGCTCACAGTACGAGAAAGTAGGAAGAGCCTCCACTGCTGAGTTGCAAGATTGAAAGTTAATGAACGATGTCATTGCTCTGGCCCCCCTCTCATTCCCAGCAGGCCCTGTCCTGCAGTTTAGTGACAGACTGCCCCAAAGGATAGGTCTACCATTTACTTTACTTGGACCATCTTTAGAACAACCAGACAGTAGTTCCAAGACCTGCCTCCCACTCAGCTGCTCCCAGTGTTCCAGTACTACAATGGGCTGGATCATTTGTTTCTCTAGGGAGATGTTCAAGCTACAGTAGAGTATTCACCCCCAGATGCAATGTCCGTTTCTCATACCCCCAGAGCCATTCATTTAACTTTTATGAATCAGAAACCTAGAAGCCTGGGCGTGGAAGCCATTCCCAAGAGCTCAGCATAATGACTCATGGGTACAGGGCGAATAGAAGTGAAGAAGAGATTCCAGTGGGTCTCAGAGGACCACAAGTTGGTAGAAAAGCATTTGTTAAGTCAGTTTAAAAGTGAAGAAGTCTAACAAGAGTGGGTCATGGAATTAGGCAGGGAGAGTCAGTTGAACTAAACTTGACATGGCTGAGGGCATTTTTGGTGCCCCAAATTCAGCTATACAAGCCTAGTGAGGTCCTAGAGTCCATATAGTATGGCTTTTTCATAATATAAGGAATATAAATGGGATGTAGATAGAGGCGAGTAGTGTTTTTCCAACTGCCTTAGGGACAGAAAAGGAAAAAAAAAAAAAAAAAAAAAAAAAACGAACAGACTACCGTAAGAGGTATCTAGGTTACACCCAGACAGAAGTTTGTAAAGATGAGACTAGGAACAAGGAAAAGTAGGAGAAAAGAAAGGGAGCCGTGGGCGGGACTTAGCTCAATGGTAGAGTGCTTGCCTAAGGATACGAGGCCAGGCAGGTGGTAAGATCTCCAACAAAAGAAAGAAAAGAGAGGGGGAGGGGCGAGGAAGCCAGGAAGAAGGAAGGGAGGAAGGGAGAGAGGGAGGAAGAGAGGAAAATGGGGAGGGTAAGGCTTTTCCCAAAATAGAGCAGAGGAGCTGAACAGATCCCACTACAGGAAAGGCCCAGCTCCCAGGGGCGGGGAGTGAAGGCAGCCGCCTGAAGCCCTGGCCTTTGTGGGGACCACTCTTCAGTCCTGTTGAGCACCTGAGGCTTGTAGGACCTGCTTGGGGTGCTGGCGGGAGATGGGGCCCAACCTCTGTTTGAAAACCTCAGAGTCTTCTGCCTGAGCAGTGTCTTCCCTCTGCTCTGCCCCTGGACCTCCCTAGGAGAAGGCGGGAGACCTGCAGATAGAAACATCCCAGCTTTTTACTTTCCTCTTGGTTTAGAGCCCGCCCCCTGCAGGGAGAGCTTGGGCCCTCTCCTTTGGTGTCAAGCCTTGGAGTCACTTGCCTGAAACAAAATAAAACCTCTGGGCTGGATGTCAGAGGATCTGAATTCAAGTATTGGTTCTGTCACTCACTAGGACATTCTAACAAGGCACAGAATTCCCAAGATTTCATTTTCTCATCTTTATATAATGGGAATTACAACACCTGCCCTGGCTATGTTCTTGCAAGGTGATTGTGAGGCTCAAAGAGGGCATAATCCCTTGAAAATCTTTGTAGTTGTCAAAAGTCTATTGTGCTCCTGATTACCAAAAAAATGTTTTCATGTACAGAACATGTCGGGGCAGAATGTGGTTATCATCCCTTACATCTTGACTTGGCTGATAATACTACACATGTACCCGAAGCATATGCAAAACCTACAGAGTCACTACGGAGAAACAAACAAACAGAAAAAATCATCAGGAAATACAATGTGAAATGGACTGTATTGTGGGTGAAGCAACGTGGTTTCTTCATGAGTTTGCCATTTTGCAATTTTTAAATTCTTGGTTTCGGCCAGCTCAGGGGTGAATACCTATAAATCCTACTTGGAGGGCTAAGGCAGGAAGATTGAAATTGGAGGCCAAACTGGGTAACGTAGTAAGACCCTATCTCAAAATAAAATAAAAAGAGTTGGAGATGTAGCTCAGTGGTAGAACACCCCTGCATTCAATCCCCAGTACCACACACACACACACACACACACACACACACACACACACAAATACACAATCTTGGTTTCATTTCTGTTGCTGAAACTCTTTAATGCACAGGAAGTGTCTAGGAATGAGTCATAGACTCATCTATTGAAGGTCCCTTCCAGCAATAAAGTTTTGTGGCCACAGAGGTATAAATAATATTTTTAATAGGACAACTGTCATGAAGTTTTTTTTTCCTTTAAAGAGAGAGAGAGGAGAGAGAGTGAGAGAGAGAGAATTTTTAATATTTATTTTTTAGTTCTCGGCAGACACAACATCTTTGTTGGTATGTGGTGTTGAGGATTGAACCTGGGCCGCAAGCATGCCAGGCGAGCGCGCTACCGCTTGAGCCACATCCCCAGCCCCTGTCATGAAGTTTTTTCCAAGCATCTTCTTGAGTTTTCATGATGCTCTTGTAAGACATTAAGTAACTGTCATCGTTCACACAGCTAGGCAGTTTCAGAAGCAAGGCTACAATAATAGAGCAGGAATATGTATAATATGAGGGCAGGAATATATACATATATTATATATATATATGAAGGTACAGTGTCCACGTGTACTCCCACCTCCACCCCCATTTCATAGAAGACAAACCTGAGGTGCAGGACTTGCCCCAGGACTCCAGCTGGCAGTAGATAAAACTCAAGCCTCTGGGTCCAGTGCTCTGGCCCTGCCAGCCCCGTGACTCAGAGTTCTTGACTAAGGCCTAGGATTCATAGTTGGTCTCCCTGTTCAAAACCAACCAGACTTTCCCCTTCCCTCAGGCCCTGAATGGACTGGGCTGTACGCACCCATCCAGGACAAGTCTGGGCTCATGCAGGACTAGACCTCTCAGAGTCACCGTCCCACCTGCCTGGCTGGTTTCAAGGGAACCATTTTCATTTTATCCAGACACCAGAGTCACTCCCAGGGACACTCAGAGGCAACTCCCCAGCAAAGTGGCCCCATCCTTAAGCAAGTGGGAAGGGCGTTGGCATGGGCTGAAGGTCAGGCAAGTCACCTCTGGGGCACAGCTCTCCAGCTTCCTCTCTATTCAGCTCAAACCTTGGGCTCCCCAGGAGATAATCAAGTCCTTCCAGGTAAGGACAAGTGGCCTGGGAACTACCTCAATGAAGAGGGGCGGGGATGACCTTTGATGGGTCTCCAGTTCCTAAAACACACACCAGACAAGTCTCCAGAAAACAAAAGCCAGGAGAAGAAATGATTCCCACCAACAGGAGCTCTGCTCCCCGGTGGGTCCTTTCTCTCTTCCTGGGACCCTGACCACACTGCCACCCCGTGCCCCGGCCCCACACCCCTTGCTCTTTCTCCCATGCAGAGTTGGGTGTTTCTCCCACCTTTTCAGGGGACACTGAGGCACAGAAAGTGTAACAGAAGAGGTTTGGGGACAGCTCCAGGAGCAGAGGGAGCCTAACCCTGCCCCCTCCTCCTGCAAGGCCATGGATCTGCCTCCGAGCTTTAGTGCTCTTAGTGGTGACAGTGATAAGGAGCCCCTTCCTGTAATGTTATTTAGAAATTTTTAAATATATGCGCACTCAGTATAAACTCAATTGAAGAGTCCATAAATCCTGATAATCTCTATTACAATACTTCAGTGCTTTTATGGAAATATAAAATATCAGATTCTCTGGGTGCCTCTGCTTGGCTGGTGTCCTGGGCACATGCTGATTCTGTTTATTGGGAGTTCAGCTCTGCCTTGCAATGGCAGGGTCCCAGAGCCCAGAACTCCCCCTCTGATGGGGCCCCTGGAAAAAGCCTCCACCCCACCTTGCCTGCCAAAGTACCCAGCACGGCAGCCCGCCAGGAAATGGGAGCCGCCAGACCATTTCCCTCCCTGCCCCCTCTGTCCAAGGCTTCAGAGTTCCAGAATGGGAGCCAACTCCCTGATAAGGACTGGGCGTGCCAGCCAGGTTGACCTGTGACCCGTCTCTCCCAAGTCACTCGCCCAGTAACACTGCTTCTAAGGAGACATTAATTCCCTGGCTTCCTTTAGAAAGTCCTCTGTCTTCACAAGAGGGCAGGAAAGGGACAAAGAAAAGAACAGGCACCTGAAGGATTGAGGCAAGTGGCAGGCAGAAGCCCCTGGACTGAGACCAGAGGTGTCGTTTGTTTCCTTGTTCCAAGCAGTTTCCACGTTGCAGATGGGTGGTGTTTCAAAGTCTCTTGTTTATTTTCCCTCTGAGTTGAATCAACTGGATGACTATTTGTTGAGCATTTACTAGGTAGCAGGTGCTATGCTAAGCATGCATTGCTTTGTTCAGTCTTTCTGTGAATTTTGTGAGGCTCTCCACCTTGTGGGTGAAGAAAGGTTCAGGGAAGTTGAGTCATTCACTCCCAGCCACCTAGCAGAGTCGGGATAGGGAAGAGAGTCTCAATCGCAAGTTCCGGGGCTATTCTATGCTGCCAGATTATTTTGAGCAATAAGTCATTCTCCCGCTCAAACCACTAGAACTCCTTGGATACATTGTGAATCTGAAAATAGTATACGTTTATAAAGGGAAAGAAGAAAGCAATAGTGCTAAAAACAGAAATAACAATGACACTGACTTGCGAAGTGTTCTGTTGCCTGGGAAAGAGGTTCCTCAGGAAAGTAGCCTTCAGCAGGGCTGGCTGAAGACAGATGCAATTGAAATCCATAAAAAGGAGGCTGGGCACCTGCAAATACCTAGGGTCTTGTTAATCCTGGCTTAGAGTCTTGTCTCATTCCCAGCTGTGTCCTTTCCTTGAGGCAACAGCCAGGATTGGAATTATTTTGAGTTAAGAAATAAGGCGAGGGTCAGAGAACAAGACAGAAAATGATCTCTTTACAGGTAACAAGAGATCGTGGGTGTGTGTCTGAATAAGGATTAAGCAGGTGAGGTGACTATGTTTTTACCCAAGGTGACATCTATGGGGCTTTATCAGTGAGAAGGGGAGGTGTTTCAGCTCCCAAAGGGTAGGCGAGGATAATGAGTCTCACGCTCTCTCCCCTGGCCTCCAAGAGCTTTGTCTCTGGGAGAGCAGCTTCCAGGTATGTGAGGACAGCGGGGAGGAAAAGGGACTCATACTGTGGAATGATCTCTGATGTCCTAAGTTCCTCTGAGGCTCTCATCCAGGTGTTGGCTTCATATCATCTACACGCTGAAAGACTCGGCAGCTTCTTTGAGCTCTAGGGTCACCGTTCTGACACTGTCACATTCATCGTCCCACATCTCTTCTTCCCTTAGGCATCCACAGGCAGCAAATGGCACCACCTTCCAAGTTAAAAATTCAGAAGTCATCCAGATTTCTCTCTTTATGCATTGCCTACAATTAATCCCTCAGCAAGACTAAAATAAAACCCGCACTCTTTATCCTGGCCAACAGCCCCGCCTCTCTGACTTCATCTCACGCCCTGCTTCTTCACACTTACCATGTTTTCTTCTGTTCCTTAGACAGATCCATGTCATCCTACCTTAGGGCTTTTAGATTTGCTGTTCTCTCTGCCTGTGCCGCCCTTTCCCACCTCAATGGGTGGCCACCTGGGTCTCATTCTTAGGAAACTGGATCAAATATTCACTCTTCAGGGGGCCCTTTGTGACCTCCTGATTGAAGTTTCTAAGTTATTCTCAATTATATCACTCAGGGTGTTTTTCTGTATAGTACCAATTTATCTCCTTTATTTACTTGGTACCGGTGTTTTTATTGTCTGTCTCTATCCACTAGTGTAGAAGCTCCTTTAGAGATATAATTTGCCATTACACCCAGCAGGGCCCCTACCTAGTACATGGCATGAATTAACAAACTCATGAAGGAAGGAAGACATTGCAGGTTTCTAATTCAAATATGCACCTCTAGGAAGTCAAGATTTTATATCCATCATAAAGTTGAAGGTAAGCACATTGATGATCACAGGGCCTTAAATATGTCTGCATTTAGTCAGGGAGGATAATTATTTAGCAAGAATCCAGAATGAGAGAGAGAATTCTCAAATCCAGACATGACACAGCCAGTATCTGATCAAATCCTGATCAATAGCTGAGCATTTTCTAAACAAGCTGACTGATTCAGAGCAAAATTGATGCATATTAATGGTGTCTATCTATATACCACATGTAATAGCTATTCTGCACACAGACACCATGGTAAGTCCTCTATAAGCACTATTGTGATTAGTCCTCACACAAAAACCCTAGAATGCAAATACTACTATTAAATTTGCTTTACAATTGAGAAACCTGTGGCTTGGTAACTTGCTTGCTGGGATTCAAGACCAGACCAGCTTCCCTCCAGAGCCCATAAGGGTCCAGCATGCCCACTAGATTTCTAACAATGCCATAAGATGATGAGGAAGCCAAAGTTAACCTGAAATTGAGTCTGGGGCCTTGTGACTTTTAAGCCCAGTATTCTTTTTGCTATAATTTACAGACGCTCTTGGGGACAAGAGGCAACATTGGGCTAGGCTGTCTGTGCTGAGGACCTCCGGATATAAAGGGAAGGGAAAGTGCTAGGAAATGCTGATGTTCCTCTCTCCTGCAGGCATTCCTGGAGAAGTATGGGTACCTCAATGAACATGTCTCCAGAGCTCCCACTTCCACCCAATTCAGCAATGCCATCAGGTAGGAAGCAGGGATGGGAAGGACTTGGGCATGCAGGGTGCAGAGCGCCTGTCTTCTCCCTCCTCCTGGAGGGTGGGCAATCCATACCCCAGGAAGTCAGTCCTCACCCCTACCACCCATACTCCCCTTGTAGTCCTTTATCTCAATTCCTCCTGGCAGAGAGTTCCAGTGGGTTTCCCAACTTCCCATCAGTGGCATGCTCGACCATGCCACCCTTCGGCAGATGACACGTCCCCGCTGTGGGGTCACAGATACTGACAGTCATGCAACCTGGACAGAGAGGATGAGTGCGCTGTTTGCAGGACGCCGGGCCAAAATGAGGCGCAAAAAACGCTTTGCAAAGCAAGGTGAGCACTGTTGAAATCCAGCTGGGCTGGGACCACCCAATGTTCTGAAGCCCATGGATGGAAAAACTAGCCTGGGACTGGGCTTTGTTAGTAACCTGTCCTCTCTAGGACAGGGAGGGGTGGGCAGATAGGACGTTTTGACACAAGGACCGTAATTATGAATAAGGACATTTAAACCAGAATTATACCTACACTGATGAATTTTCATTGTACAAGTATTTCCCAGATCAAACCCCATCAAGTCCACTGAATTCCTTGATCAATTTTCTATACCGAGCAGTTAAACCACGGCCAACACTTTTCATTTATATTAAATTCATCAGAATCAATTCTTTTTCATAACAGCTATTCAACAAAGATGTGATCCATCTTTGTTGTGTTCAGACAGAACACATCTTAACAGCTTTATTGAGATGGAATTCACGTAGTATGCAATTTACCCATTTAATGGGTTCCATTCGGTGATTTTTAATATATTTGCAGAATTGTGCAACCACTACCACAATTGAATTCCTAATTTCATAACATTTTCATTACCCCAAATAGAAACTCTGTGCCCATTAGTGGTTGGTTACTCCCCATTGTCTCCTTCCCCAGTCCCCGTGGGAACCACTAATCTACTTTGTCTCTGAGGATCTGCTGTTCTGAGCTTTTCTCACAGCACATTTATTTATTTGCTTATTTATTGTGGTGCTGGGGATTGAATCCAGGGCCTTGTGTATGCAAGGCAAACACTCAACCAACTGAGCTATATCCCCAGCTCTCACAGCACAGTTTATACAATATACTTTCTTCTTCTCCCCCATCCCTTTTGGTAGCTTTGTCTTTTCTTATTCTCTTCCTCCTCCTCCTCCTTTTTGTTTGTTTTTTGCAATACTGGGGATCAAACCCAGGACCTCAAGTTCTACCACTGAGCTATATCCCAAGCCAGTTTTTCGCAAACAACAAGCTAGGTGTCTTTTTACTATCATGATGGCTTTTACTAAGTCAATTTTTCTCTGGTCATTTTTTGCTTTTTCATGATTGGGAACAAGATGAGATTTTCCCATCACGTCTTCATGTAGAGTTAATTTTACTGTGAGCAATTTGGGGCCATTGCCACTTGGAGTCGTGTGAACTACTTTTACCGATAATATTCCTATGAATGGGATTGAAGACATGGAGTGTGCTTTCATGGTTCAGCTAATCCATAAGGAAATTGTGGGCAGTTGGAGGGCAGCTGTTCCCAGCCGTTTTCACATTCTGCTGCATTCACATGGCAGGCCACTTGGGGTGCCCTGGGCAGAATGGCCTCATTTGGTAAAGCTCAGAGTCAGCAATGAGGTCTGGACCCTGGGGGTCAAAATGTCCTTGAATCAACATGTTCTTCATCCCACCGTGTTTCTGAGCAGCAGAGGGGAAGAGTGAAGTGGGAAAGGAGAGGCCTGAGCTCAGGAGACCAATAGAACAGACAGAACCCATCCCAGAAGCCGAAGCCCTGGGTTCATGTCTTGTGACCAGGGTTCCATCCCTCCTTCTCCCTACTCTTCGATGAAAGGCTCCAAAGAAGAGCCAGTCCCTGATTACCAAGCATAATCAGGGCTTGTTGTAAGAGCACAGTGGAAAGTGGGGTAGCCCCAGAAACAGTCTCAGCAGCTGCACTGGGGGTCTGAGCTTTGCGGATGCTTCCATCTGGCTGTAACTTTCCTTCTCCTGCCCCAAGGAAGGATCTAATGGAGTGCCTTTGTCACTAGTCAATTTGGAGTATCTATTTTGGACAGAAGATAGTAGCACTTGGTCAGTTAAAATATAGAATGTCCAGCTAAATCTGAATTTCAGGTGAATACAAATTATTTTATTTAAATTTTATTTATATTTTGAAATTCAAACTTAACTGG